TGTGCTTGTGGAGGTGTCTGGCTGCACGGGTATGATTGATGCCAAGGCCGATGTAAAGCCGTCGCAGATGGACTTTGACTCGCCGGCATAGCCGGTGCTTGAAAATCAATTTAGCCCTGTCTGACCGTGCTGTCGATGCCGATACTCATTCCTGTCTTATGTATTTCTGATTCCTTTTTTTCTCTTTTTTCTTCTAATATTTTGTTTTGGCGGTAATTTATTATATCAGTAACGAAGTTTGTTATGTTGTTTGTCAAAAAAAACTTTCGTAGTGCCGTTTGATGGTTTGCGATCTAAGTTCTGAACCTTATCATTGCTTCCAGATCGGTAACTTCTGGAACTTCATGCTGAAGGTATATGAAAGTTTTAGCAACTTGGATACCTAGCTGAATCACTTCTGTTCGTCTAGTAATGTGGGAAGTAAAACTATTCAAGCCTTAACTACGGGAAGCAATTAATTCGGGTCCTCTGTTGTCGTCACACTGTCGTCCGTCGCGCTGCTTCACGTGATGTAGCCGTCTCGTTTCTCTAAGCGAGTCAGAGAGTTTGTCAAGCTTGAGTATATGGTTAAAGTGGTTCACCTCGATGAAGGGCATTTGATCTTTTTATCCTTCATACAATTTTCGAGCGCGATCGCTTTCTTATGTGACATCTAATGACTTTGATCGAACTACTCATAGAATAAGCTTCTAGTTAAATTCTACATCATACAATCGGAGGAGGGAACGATTGATTCGAAATTCATAGGAAACAGATATTGACACAGATCGGTTCGTGTGGTTCGGAGTAGAGCAACGACAGTAATTAACCTATGTCTCTTTCCCGGTGCTCTGTGCTTGACCCTCCAGTCGTGGTCATCCTTTTGTAGCCAAACACGTCTAAGAAAGCCCGCAGCCGCTTTTGTTTCATCCTCAAACTGCGAAGCTTGGGACTAACAACAAGTTAAGGTGGGTGACTTTACCCGAGAAAGCAGTTGTTATGAGTGGCATTCGCGGATTGTGTGTCCTAAAAAGTTATGAATCTTCATAATTCATTAGCCTCCCTGGAACTTTTTCTGTTATTCGTCTTCAGCTTGTCACGTGAACTAATGACGAGGTTTCATTCTCATTGTCCTTCATTTCTTATAACTATTTTCATGATGTGGAAATAGTTTCTATTACTTTTGAGTTGTAATATGCAAAATAAATCAGCGCAATTGCATACCCATACATAAGCGTACAGTGAAGTGTTTGGTCGAAACAAAAACTGCAAAAGCCTTTTCACTGTATTTTTTGACTTCTTTATTCTTTGACGTTGCTCAGATCTCACTATCTGACATCACAAATACAATGCATTAGTCTTACGGAAGGGGAATCTACACCCGAGCGATGACGACATTATGGCGCAGCTTTATATGAGGGCCCATCAGTGGTACATTAACTGAGAACGCTGAGGGGCATTAATTTTGAACATATCCTAAAGTGTGAGTCGTAGACTATCTTAATTAGCTATGTTCAACACGAGAATCAAGGTAGCCATGATGACGAAGTTTTTTGAGGTATCGCTCCGCGCGCCACACTTGTTTATTGTCGGATGACATCAGTATGTGAACTTTTCCAGAGCTTTGCACAGCCAAAGAAGTCGAAAAGGCAATGGCGCAAGGCACTTATGCGTGCATTGGCGGCCGAAAAGGTCGAGGTAGTCAAGTGGGGAACTTACAAGTTCTTAGAGACAAACTTGTGTGATCTCAGTTGGTAGGTTTATCTAAATGTAGGTTTTTGTTGTTGCAGATCCTTATACAATGCATTTATCGAGGACGACACGTTTTAACCAATCTTCGGAAAGGATTTTGCACTTTGGCATGAAAAGGATTCAGAGGCAAGTCATCGTTGACAATAACTCGCTGAAACAATTTCTGTAGAACCCACAGCTTGCCCATAAGCAAATCTGGGCTTATCCAGCTGTACATTCCCAAGTCGAAGATTATCTTCCACAAACATTTTTACTCTCCTGTCCGACAATAGCTCGATAGAAATTAGTATGCGTCACATAAATATCCGTCATTTGATTATGCGTTTTTTTTGGCAGTCATCTGAGGTGTGTCGGCGTACAAGTCTAGCACACTGTGGCATCACGAGCTATAGGGACGACAGGCTCCATATGTATGAAGCTGAAGTCTATGGTGTCATTGGGGCCTTTGCCTGCAGGCATAGCAGGCTATGCTAATAAAAATGGATGATATCTTGTGCGCGCATCAATGCATATATGAATATGTGTGGCTAATTTTTGTTTTATCCTTTTTCTGTGCGCGCGATAGTGAAGGGTTTTATTGCTTTTGCACTCTCTTTTTGGAAATCAGCCTTTTGAAGAATGAACGGCCGTAATTACATGCGTTGGACGTCAAGTTGTTCATAACCTTTCCGACCCTTTTACATTTGTTTGACTGTATCTGGTAGTGGGGTTTGTGGCGCTATGACATGTTGAGTTTGCGGACGATAACATCGGAGGTAATAGTAGTTCACTTGTTTGTTTTATTTTTCAGACTATTTCATCGACGTAGGCAGGATTGAAGTCAGTGGCACTTTGGGAAGTGACAAGGATTGATTAAATAGTACAAAAACGGTGTCTCTGTCAAATTCCACCGCACGCATCGATGATGTTGTTATCGAGCTAGTGCATGTAGTGGACCGAATGACACCCAGATCTAGGCAGTATATATAATGCTTCTTCAAATGTACAGTCTGCTTGTCAGCAAGTAGTGTGCGTGCGTGAATGTGATTTGGTGAGTAAGCATGTGCTCCGATAAACAATGGCAACACACAGAGACTATGACGACAACTAAACTAATACAATTTACAGTTGTGAGAACTATTATTCGATGATGAAGTATAGTTAATCCATTCTCTGAGTCTTTGAAGGTAAGAACGGGTTTATCGGTAGACATTTGGATTTATGAGAAATTGGCACTTATCGCGTGTAGTGAGCAAGGGGCTATGAAGCGGTTCACATAGTAATAGGTATGAGAAATCTATCCTAAAGATCATATTTTTCACCCTCAAAACAAGCGGTCACTATTATGTATGCACAGCTGCTACGATTTTAC